AAAAACCACAAATTTCATGTGCCAGATGAAAGAGACTAGATAACGCCGGACATATAGCAGTAAAATACAAATCCAGTCAGTGAAGATTTTGTAGCACAAGGGAAAAACCTAGAACAAGATACATGTGCAAAACGTGCAATTTGAGTCTATGCATGTACCAAAAAGACAAAACTTGCCTTGAACAGTGTCATAAAAAAACTTTTTTCTTTGACATTTAATAAAAACATTTTTACCTTTACTTTACTGAGTTTTTTTATCCGTTAATCCAAATGTCCATGTTATGTAGGTTCTTATGTTTTCACTACTATACGAAAATTACATAAATATTCATTTTTAAATTTTTACTGACGATTTACTTTATAAAATAATGTAAAAAATTTACATGTAATGCAATTCTTTCATACATTTTTTTTTAATTCGCAAATTTCATCATTTATTAGAAATGCGCATGTAAAAAAGTAAGTTTTTCCCCCTACTACCTCAGTAAGTTTCAAAGTCCTTGACGCACACTGGTTTCACAGTGCAACCACCATCCACAGATCAATAGACAAGGGTAGATTTTTTTTTAAATTCATATATTATTTATCATAATATTCAATTTCTAGAGTTTTTTAATTAAAAAATTATAAAAATAATATCGCATGCATCAAAAGGTTAACTGATCCCTCAAGGCAAGTTGATAATGACATCAGAAATTGCAAATTTTGAAATTAAATACTTGGTCAATTTTTGTCATATGGGAATCAAACATCTTATAACTTTATGTCTTATATAAAGTGTATAAAACTTTCTCAAATAAGGTAAGATTTGTCATTACAAATAAGTATTTTATAATGGAAAAAAGTGAGCTCAGTATATTGTAGGCAAGATTGTTAGTGTTCAAAATCTGACAGCTTTCAAGTTTCTGTACTCAGTGATGTTTGTTCAAGGATCTTTCAAATGTAGTCAGAAATACTAACCAAGACTCTATCAAAGTCTCTATTAACTGCCTCAGCAAGCAGTTTAAAAAATCAGCTGTGAAAATTCAGTCACATTAGGAACAGCTCTGTGGAAATCAGTAACGCTTTCAAATTTCATTAGTGGATGAGATTTTGGCATTGCATTATCAGTATTGGGTGGTTTAATGGCTTTAAAATTATGCATCACAGTAAAATATATGGTTTGCGTGTATTAGAAATGAAAGCAGTGCTAACTGAAAATTTTTTGGCACGTTTAAAAAAATAAAATGGAATAGATAAATTTTGGAATTGTTAAAAATTGAACAATTTTTGAGTGATGATGAAATAATTCATGACATACACTCAAGAGCCAAAACATTATGAACAGCCCTACATTTTGCGATGAATGCGCCTAGATGACGTGGAAGGCATGTGATCAGGTGGAAGTGGTATTTAACTGCTGCTGGAGAGTCTGAAGAATCATTCTTTCACTTACTTCTGTGTGTGATGGGAAAGGAAGAGAAGGCAGATTGTAATGGCTCGAAGGCTCGGAACAAGTATTTCCGAAACTGCACAACTCGTGGGTTGTTCCCGATCTACAGTTGTTAGTACGTATGAAAAGTGGATGAATGATGGGGAAACCAGCAGTAGACGACATGGTGTTGGACGTCCACACGCTATCAAAGAAAATGGTCGTCGGAGACTGTCTTGCATGGTGAAGCAAAACCGGAGCCAGACAGTGGCTCAGCTGACAGCCGAATACAATGCAGAGCCAAGTAGAAAAGTATCAGAGCACACTGTTCAGCGGACACTGTTGGATATGAGGATATGCAGCAAATGTCCCACTCGTGTGCCTTTGCTGACCAAATGTCATCGCCAACTGCACCTGCGCTGGGCCCGGGGACATCGCGACTGGTCCATGGATCAGTGGGAGAGAGTTGCCTGGTCAGATGAATAACAGTTTGTCATTCATAACGCCGATGGCCGTGTCAGGATACCCCATCTTTCAGGCGAACAGTTGCTCCCTCAATGCACAGTAGGTCATACACAAGCCGGTGGTGCCGGTATTATGCTCTGGGGGACGTTCTCTTGGGCGTCTCTGGGACTCATGGTTGTGGTAGAGCAGACCATGTATGCTACAGGGTATCTGAATATCATTGCGGACCAGTTGCACTCTTACATGACCTCTGTTTTTCCAGCTGGAAAAGGAATGTTCCAATAGGACAACGCCCCATCTCACAAGGCTAATAGTGTTGGAGTGGTTCCAGGAACATGATGCTGATTTCCAGTTAATGTTCTGGCCACCTACTCACCGGATTTCAATCCGATAGAGTACATTTGGGATGTCATGGGACAGCAGCTCAGAGGTCAAAGACCACCAGTTCGCAATATCTCGGATTTGCGTGACCGTTGCTACAACATCTGGTACAATCTGTCTCCGGCCATCTATCAAGGACTTGTGGCATCCATGCCAAGGCTGGTTGAAGCTGTGTTGCACGCCAAAGGTGGCCCAACTCGTTATTGAAAGGTGGTCGTAATGTTTTGGCTCTTGAGTATAGATCCATAGCATAATAAAGATTGCTGAGGATGATGATGAATCCAAAAATGTCAAAAATAGCCATGTCAAAGACTTTTACTTTATTTTGATTCTGACAAAATATCTAAGGAGTCTGTGCCTAAAGAAAAGATTGCCTTCTTTGCCTTTTTAAGGGAAATTGCCTCATACATTACATGGCAAAAACCATGAAAATTTCAGTGCAATCTGCCCATTTACCAGAATTTGAACCTGAGTTAAAATATCAGAATTTAGCAGTTTTATCTCTTGTTCACTATCATGATTTGGGATTTGCCACCAGGTGAACAAGTTGTCTTTAGGCTGAAAGATAATGTTTGAATGAACACATCATGAAATTTAAATTTGACTCAAATCTAAAATGATAATATTCTATGTATTTAAAAATTGTACTGAAGATTTCACTATTCATTTAATTGATTGATGATTGAAGCATTGTCATCACAATGAAAGAATTATATTATCTTTGCTTAGTATTTGTTTACATATTTCTTTATTCTGTCAAGCATTTAAATGATTATGCCTATTCTCTAAAGACTGATAAAGGCTTTGACCAAATAACCGAGGAAATGGATTGAATTGGATTATTAAGTTATAAGGCAAAGTAGGGCTATCTGCCTAAAAAGAGGGATGCCTTCTTGAAGAACTTTCTAAGTGAAACCAGCTTGTATACACGTTACACATGAAAAAAACCACGGAAACACCCATGCAATTATGTTCGAATTCTGGAAAACGAGCAACCCCGGAGCGAACTGCCAATGTTCAAGTACTACTTTACCACTCGGCTGTTTGTGGGTTCTTTTGAAATGGAGGCGATGACATTATTTAAAATTAATGCCAGAAATACCAAGATATTTCAAAACGTTGGATACTTTTTAATATACTTGCAGAATGCTTGAAAAAGAAAGAGAAAGAAGAAAAATAAATTTTAGCATAAAATTTAGTATTTTTTTTTTTTTTTTTAATTTTATGATATTTGATTATTGCGATTTCAGAAATAAAATATTTGACTAAAATAGGAATACCATTTTAAGAAATGAAATGTAGGATGATAAAATTGTGTAAAGCAATGGGCACAATGATAAAACTGTTTAAAGCAATGTGTGGTAGTCATCCTAAGTTAAAATGTCGGATATACATCTTTCTTATTTATATATCTTTTCTGAACGGAACATTGAAAGTCATGTTAACTGTGGTTTACTGTATTTTCTCTTTTAATATATGCAGTTATCAAACGCATCGTAGTCAAGTCTTCAACAAACAAATAACAAAAAAAAATCGGGAAAATCTGTATTTCTTCCGAAAGAAACACAATTCAAATAAATAAAATAAAATTCGGGAAAATTTATATTAAATATATTTAAAGCGGGCAGTTCGAATGAATGAATAGAAAATTTTAAAACAATTATTTGAAGAAACAATGCAACACAAACAATTAAAATAAAAGGTCTCAAAATTTAAAAATCACCTAAAATGATAACTATGACTAAAAAATATAGTAAAGAAAACTATTTGAAAAAAATAAATGATGCACCTTTTGTTTAAACTACGCATTTCGAATAAGTAAATAGAAATTTTTAAGACAGTTATTTGAAAGGAACCATGCAACTTAAACAATTAATATGAAATTCAAAAAAGAAAAAAAAAATTTAAAATACTAACAATTACAATTAAAAATATAATATAAAGAACATTATTTGAAAGAAAGAACGATGTGGCTTTTTTCTGCTCACGCATAATGTAAAAAGGGAAAGGAAAATAGGTTGCCATATATTAAGAAATTCGCCAAGTGAGCTATTCTTGGCACAACTGAAAAAAAGTACAAAATAAATTTTTGAATTTCTCCGTAAGTTTCGCACCAAATTTTACAAAATATAATATTAAGGCATAATTTGAGTCGTAGAATTGAAATATGCAAAACAATTGGCATGCTATTTCAGAGAAAAGTCTGATTTTGTGTCAAAATACCTATGTTAGAATAATGATGTATATAAATCCAATAAATATCCTAAGTTGCGCTTTCGAGACATGAAAAACGCAATTTGAATTTCATCAATTGGCCCGGTAGAATGGTCCTTTTTTTTTCCGCAGTGTACCTAATTACACGTATGATAGGAGGATATGAAATAACCATTCTTTTTCTTCTAAACGAAATTGACAAATTACGCCAATGTAGGTTGTGATAGCACCAAAGTACACAATATTTTTGTGGATAATGATGTTTCTAGGGAAAAGAAATCTTTGCTAATTGGGAGAAAAATTGTTTTATGCTCCTCTTGCTTTTTCTTGACTATTACATTCTTTTATCCTAGCTGTGTATGGGGGGAAGGGGGGAGTTTTATTTGAAGTTTTGGTTTTAGAATTTTCTTGTTATTGTTTGACCAGATTTTTGACTTTGTATTGTGTTATACAAAGTATTTAGTATTCATTTTTACTATATTTTATTATAGTTTAGCTACATGTAATTTAATAATCTTTCTTGTTTTCAGGTTAAGCCACAGTTAATAGAGCCTGTTGACTTTGAGACATTTTTTCAAAAGAATAAGACCCTTCTACAAAATGATCCTCTTCGAGAAATGTTATTGTTTCCTCAAGATGATGTACAAGTAATAAGCCGAAAATTTCTTCCTTAACTGAACCCTGCCTGAGCTACTTTGACAGTTATTACCATTTAAAAAGAAAAAATGTTGTTTAATTAGACATATGAATTATAATTAAGACACAATAACACATCAAACAAATACTAATTCAGAAGTCAAATAACAAAAATCAGAGTTGTGATTTCAAATTTTCACAGAAATTTGAAAATTTGAAATGAATCTGTGAAAATTTGAAAACATAATGCTGATTTTTGTTGTTTGACTTCTGAATTAGTATATGAATTATAATTAAAAATTTGGTACATTCTGATTATCTACAACTGAGGGCAGCTTTTATGCCTCATTGGTAATGCTTTATTCATAAATGATGATGAAAAGAGACATTTTACAGGGTGTTAGAAATTTTTTGTGTTGGAGGGGATCTGGAACCTGTGAGCAAAATTATGGTTAATGTGTATAAATCTATGCACATTCAGACATGTGTGGTGCATGCATTGGTGGTTTTGATATTATTGTACGCATATGAAAATATGCCTCGAAACTAGGCAGTTCTGCTAAATTTTGAAGCTACGGGTTCCGATAACCAGAAAGTACCAAAATTTTTAAAGATTTAAATGCATAGTGCATATGTAGTCTATAATTTATAATAATTAAGATTAATTATTTAAAATTTTTAATTTATGGCATTAATTTTGGTCATTTTTTGTCACAAAGAGCATTCTGAATAAGAAGGACACCATTTTTTTATGATTTTTTAAAATTAAAATTAACACATTATAGTGAAACCCAGACATTGTTCAGTTAGTTCTTAAGTGATGTACACTTTTAATTGCTGCATAAATTTATATTTAGTCTGGCTTTTCTCGTGTATGCTGGTTGTGTTTCTGTAGAAAATGACTTTAAATTTCTCTCGAACATAGTGAACTTCTTCTTTTTTTTTTTTTTTTAAATTTATTAGCATGCTTGATTTAAATAAGCTTTCCAATGCAGACTAGTGCTTGTTCTACTTTGGGGGCATAGTGCAATTTATGGCTGTTATATAGTTGTCAAAATTTTTCATGTACTGGCTAGTAACTAGGTCCAGCACCTCCTGAGAGTCTTCATTTTTGTAATGATGTTTAATGATAGAAATTAAAACTTTTTTTTATTAACTAGAACTAATTATGATTTTTTTGAAAAGATTTGCTTATTTAAAAATGTTGTCATTTTCTTTTGCGAGCTGCACAGAGCTCTAGGACCCTTTAATTGCGGTTTGCAAGCATTATGAAACTCTCTGTAGACTTTCAGACGAGATTCACCACCATTAAACAGTAGCTTTATTTTTGAAATACAGTTGTATTTTAAAAGAGAAATTATGCATTGACACACTTCTTTATCAATTAGTAATTTAATTTCTTAAATTACATGTGCCTAACAATTAAATCAATTTTAAATTGCCTCCATGTGCTGATCATAAGTTTAACAAATAAAATAGAAGATAATTCCATTTCTGTGATTTAATATAATGACCACTTTATTTTTAGAGCGAATAATGGATATTGAGACAGTACAAAAGATGAAGGCCATTTAAAAAATAACACTCTTTAATACTCCCTCTCAATTAATTTTATTTTCATTTTTCCTTATACAGTCAAAAGTCGTTAATTCGAACATCTATAATCCGGACCTCAAAGTTAAAAACTTTCTGCGCATGCATCGCATTCACGCATGTGCATAGGCATTTACGCGTTAACGTAAGACTTTTACAGCTGCCAATATACATGTGTGCATGCGCATAATACATTTACGCATGCGCGTTTAATGCATAACAGACGGTATAAGCTAAAATTATCAAATTATCTATTTCAGTTAAGGTTGCAAATTGCGTTGTTCCTTAATCTTCGAATTGGATCCGGCTTATTATTTTTTGAAGACTGTTAGAGCAATTTTATAAAAGTAAGCTTGAACTTCCGATTATGTCAAATAGAATTTCTGATATATATTTACTAATATGTAAAGGATCTACAAAGTGAAAGTATGTTTCAAAGTCCATTAAACAGAAAGAGGAATTGCTTCAAATAAAGGATAAAGGCATATCCTTTGATTATCTAATCATTCCGAAATATGTTTATCAATTTCACGCTGCTCTGCGGGGGGAGGGAAACGACACGGCGCGCAATGAATTGGAAGTTGATCTGTCAGCATTATCCTTATCTTCAGGGCAGATGTTTTTATTTTATTTGGCTTATAATTCTTTACTAAATGTAGTATTTCATCTTGATGTACTCGGTCTTCGATATGATTTAAATCAAGTTCCTCATCATTATAATTCGCTTCCGATAGTGAAGAAAGTGACTCGGAGGTTATTGAAAACAAAAAAAATTCCATTAACAAATTAGTCGGTATTCTCGACACAGCAGTTATACGACTTAAACAGCGGAACTTTGTAACTAAACAAGAAATTATGTCTGTTTAATAGAATTAAAGAGAAAGTATTATCACATGAAACGAAGCAAATTAAACAACTTACATTGAAAGAAATGTTTAATAAAGTAAACAAATAAATATTTCGCTTTTTCTTTTTGTAAATTTTGATACCCTTTAGATCATAATTGCTCTTTATTTTATAAATTACGGTTTCATATTTTTAATTGTATAATTTCTGCATGCCATCTTACCAGATTTAAAATGATGATCTATAATCCGGAATCGCCAAAGTCCTGACGAGTCCGGATTAACGACTTTTGACTGTACAGTACAAAGTCTTTAATCCGGACTCGTCAAGACTTTGGCGATTCCAGATTAGGGTTTTTTCCAGATTATAGATCATCAATTTAAATCTGGTAAGATGGCATGCAGAAATTATACAATTAAAAATATGAAACCGTAATTTATGAAATAAAGAGCAATTATGATCTAAAGGATATCAAAGTTTACAAAAAAAAAAAAAAAAGACTTAATATTTATTTGTTTACTTTGTTAAACATTTCTTTCAATGTAAGTTGTTTAAGTTGCTTTGTTTTATGTGCTAATACTTTCTCTTTAATTCTATAAACAGACATAATTTCTTGTTCAGTTACAAAGTTCCACTGTTCAAGTCCTGTAATTGCTGTGCCGAGAATACTGACTAACTTGTCAATCGAAATTTTTTCGTTTTCACTAATCTCTCTGTCACCTTCTTCATGCCTTTATCCATTTTTTACAGCAATTCCATTTTTTGTTTGATGGACATCGAAACATGCTTTCACTTTGTAGATCCTTTGGCAGCTCCAGAATCGGAAACTCTTTTTGACATAATCAAAAGTTCAAACTTACTTTTTATAAAATTGCTCTAACGGTCTGCAAAAAATAATAAGCCGGATCCAAGTAGAAGATTAAAGAACAATGCAATCTGCAACTTTAACTGAAATAGATAATTAGGTAAATTTAGCCTAGCTTATACCATCCATTATACATTAAACGCTTATTTGTAAATGTATTATGCGCATGTGTAAATGCATATGCTCATGCGTAAAGGTATTATGCACATGCGCAGAAAGTTTGTAGCTTTGAGGTCCGGATTATAGATCTTTCCAGATTATGGACGTCCGGATTAAAGACTTTGTGCTGTAGTACTTCTATGAAGTCCTTGATCTCAGCATATTTGCTCTTCCTTGTAGGTATTACTTTTCTTTCAGTCTGAATGGCTTGGATAATCGTGTAAGGAATCACTTTCAGGAATGAAAGATGCAAATCCATGCTGGGGCTGTTTCAAAGTGGGAAAATATCTGAGGTCTGGTATAGTTTGACCGTCTGAAGCGCAACCCTGGTTGCCAAATAACATAGACTCGTCCAATAGGGGCGGTATTACTTGCTGCGACGTGAAGGGTCTTCTCTTCTTTGGAAAGAGCTATGCTGGAGGGAAAGAAAGTGCCCATCCTCCCACCCTATTTTGAGAATAATTTGGTCTGAATGGCGCATTCGTGTTTGCACTCATGGTCGCGGATGAAGCAGTCGATCTATAAAACCGTGCATTTATGGCAAATGAGGTAAAATTTCTCACTCCTACTTGTTCAGCAAGCTGTGACAACCTTCCCATATACAGATGTATTTTAGCATTCAAAGTGTCTATCCCCAAGCATTCCTTGGGGGTTAGTTAGCTTTTTATGTATTGTTTTGCAGAGTTTTAACATGCTACAGTCACACATCTTCCAAATGCAATTGTATATTTTGTAATGATTCTTTGGTTAACAGTTGTCAGAGATCATAATTTAATTCATCTATGACTGTAAATGTGAAATTTACGCAAGCTACTCACACGCATTTGTAATTTAAGTAGTGTGTGTGTCAGCTCGCTGTGAGTAATCTAATAGCACTGAATAAATTATCGTTAATTACTTAGCAGTAAACATTTCATTTTTTTCTTCGTCGATATGTTATTTTATTATTATATATTATTATTTGCCGATATATTGGCCTGGCCGCAAAAATATTTGTTGTGGGCCGCAAGTTTGACATCCTTGCTGTAAATGGATGAGTTTGCATTTGCTTTTCATAATTAATTCTTTTTTCGAAAATAAATTAGAATATAGCATTTTTGAATTAAATTACCTTCATTAAATAATTTTATTATTTACATAATTTTTTATTTTTAACATTTTTTAAGCATGCATTTAAAGTAATAAATTTTTAATTGGTCTAAATGTTAAAGTTATTGAACCAAAAACAGACATGATGAACAAGTATTCAAAGGGGTTTTTATATTAATCTTCAGGAGATGGCAAATTGGGATGTGATAGATACTTATAGAATTTCCTAGTTTATATAGCATAATTCTTTATTTCATTATTTGTATGCTTCTGTATGACAATTTTAATTAATTAATTAATATATATATATATTTATTTTGTGCAAACCTAAGAAATATTTGTTGTGGGCCGCATGCGCGAGTTTGACATCCTTGGTGTAAAGCTTGATAAATATCTAAATGATTATTTTTTAAAAAATTACTATTTTTTATTGATTATACTTTTATATGGCCCATTATCATAACTAAAATATAGTTATGTCAAGGTAAGTCATTATAAATTACTCTTACTTTTTTAATAAACTAAAATTGCTTAATTAGGAAATAGATTAAATTTGCCAATATGAGTAAAGCATTCGATATTGAAGTATTTTAATGATTCATATGTTAAAATAATAAAGAAATGATTTTATGAGACAAAAATTATATTAGACACAGATAAATTCTTTCCTTAATAATTAGTTTCATGTAAAATTTCATTTGACAGTTCTTGATGTATAGATTTGAAATATAATTCTTTTAAAATTTTTTTATGTGTATGTGTAGTATCTTGTTTTTACATTCTGTATTTTATTTTAGGAAGAGGTTATCCAAAGGACTTATCGTACTGTTAAACCTACTGTACCTTTATTACCAGCAAATGAAATATCATCATTATTCACTCGTCAGTGTATCAAGACATACACAAAAGATTGGCATGTTGTTAATTACAAATATAAGTCATATTCTGGATCATACTTACAATTACCAAAGTAAAAATTTAATTTTCATTACAATAGTTAAAACTTTCTCTTTGATTTTTCTTTATTTTTAAAAATTTTAATTGAAATTTTTTAATTATTTAGTGTCTTGTACATTTATTACCAAGAAGTAAATAGTGATGATATAACTATAAAAGTATTTGATGTATTGGTATTTTTTTGTTGACAGATTGCCTAGACAAAGTGAATTAGAAGATCAAGTTTATGAGGTTGATACAGAAGTTGATATTAGCAAAGACAGTGTAAGTATTTTATAAGCAAAAGGATTGGACAAAGAAATAATTTTGATTCAAAGATGAAAGTGGAAGTAAATAGAAGTTAAAGTTGGACAAGCAGAGATTTTGAATAAAACTATAATTTCTGAGGTTAAGGGATAAATAGTTTTTTTAGGAGCAAGAAGTTTTTGTAAAAATTGATAAGAAAGTCAGTTTATTTCAAATTAGTTAAACTAGGTAGTTATTTAACAGTAGAGTAATATTGATAATTTCTTTTCAAAAGGTATAAATCAGTTGAAATTTCCTTGTTTAAATATTCATTTTACTATTACATTTCAAATTTTGATATAGTATTGGTTTTGAAATTTTCTTGATTTTTTTTAAACTTTTCTTATTTGTATGTAGGAAAAAAATAAGATTTATTTTAAAAATTCTAATTCAGCTGTTTATTTAAAGTTACCATATATTCCAGCATATAACGTACACTTTAAATTCAAACAGTAACATCAAAATTTATGGGTGTGCATTACATGCTGGATTTAAGAATGATAGATTTAAAAATAAGGAAAAGATAAGGCCATTCCGTTACTCCCTTATGCAAAGCCATTTATTCTCTGGCATATTAATTATTGTGATTTCATTTTTCTTCCACTTATGCATGGGCTTTCACCAACACCAAACACCCTTGCTGCAGCACTATTTTCATTTTCTTTTGTGAATTGAACGACTTTGCATTTGTGCTTGTTTTGTTTTGCAGTAGCCATACTTACTACTAAAAGAAACGCTAGATCATCTAAAGCAAATATAATTTACCATAGCCTTCAAAATTTCTGTGTCAAAGTTCTACAGAAAGAAACCATCTAACTCCTAATTCCATGAATTCATTTCGGTTAGAAGTGCAGTATCACCTTAAATTATGTTCCCCTTTTCTTGAAACCTAAAATGACTTTCTTGTGCACAGCCACATTGAATACAACCCACCCTTCTTTACAGATTAATTTATTCTCTCAAGCATTTCTCATGCACACATATTGTTCTCATTATCACTTGCCAATTCAATATACCATTTTTTGAAAACCTGCCAATTAATGAATTTTTGCCAATTCAGTCTTTGAATAAATGAATTAAAAAAATAATAGAATCATACATGCATTTTCCAGGTTTCTTCATAAAGAGAAGGGTACGCAATATATGGCAAAAAGTTTTTAGCAGATTGAAGTTGCTGTCATCAGTTTCTGCATTATTTATAATTATCTATGATTTGAAATATTTTTTGGAAGTTGTGCATAATTTTATGTAATGAATGATTTCTGTATCAGTTTTCTAATTTCGAGTTTAGTTATATATATATATACAGGGTGTTCCCTATATGTTGCGATAAACTTCTGGGGGAGGGCAGAGAACATTATAAGGATTAAGAATTGCATAGGAACCCAAGCCCAGAAACATCAATGTATGCAACCCAGGGTTGCTGTACAGGAGAGTGCTAGTTGAAAGTGAGGATTATCTCATTTGTGCAGTAAGCACCATATGAAGTGCATGGCATGCTATACAAATGTAGAACTTGCAGTCATGCACTTAGTGTATGGAATAGTTGAGAGTCATGGACCAGCTACCGCATGCTTTTATCGAGAATGCTTCACCAACAGACATCAACCACATCAGAGTTTGTTTGCAATGATCAACTCCTCGGTTGTTAGGAGAGAAAGTGTTTTGGATACGGTGGAGAGTAATTCAAGGACCAACATATGGGCCATTGCCTCTCAATTAAGAAAGGTTCCTATCAGTATTCAGCGTGTCTTGAATGCCGATTCCTTCCATGCCTTTCGCCTCCAAAGCTTCGGTTACTGCTCCCCAGTGACCATTCTGAACATGTGTGTTTCACATAGTGGTTTCTGCAAGAAAGTGCCCGTGAAGTTAATTTCTCAGCTTATGTGTTGATAACAAATGAGACCACATTCAATAGGGATGGCTTATTCAATCATCACAATCACCATTTGTGGGCTCAAGAAAACCCTTAAGGTGAACGCATTGTTGTGTGGCACCACTCGACACAAAAACGCTTCAAAATTAATTCGTTGGCAGGTTTGGTCGGCAAGTGAATAGTCATTCAAGGTATTGTACACCATTTGTATTCATGTCCAATAAATGGTTCAAATTACTTACTTTCTTGTTTCCTTTCCCATCTTCTATCGCTGTTACCACTTACTCTTGACATTTCTGGGCATGGGTTCCTATGCAATTTTTAATCCATATGATGTGCCCTACTTCCCCTAAAAGTTTATCACAACATTTACAGGACACTTTGTGTATATATATATATATCTTAACATTTATGATCTCAAATAATTTCATTCAATGATCATATTTTAGAATAAAAATAGTTTTAGTGAATTTAGTTAATATATACGATAAGTATAAATATGTGCATTGTTTATCTTTTATCAATAGCTGAATACTCCAGGCAGTGAAAATGGTGTGATAAAAGAAGGATTTCTTTTAAAAGGACCAGAATCTGGAACTGATAGCTTTATCAGTCTTGCCACAAAGGTACTTTTTAATATTATTAAGCATATTTCTAAATGAATCATGAACAGGTTAAGATTTCAGCATATCAGCTTTGTATTTTTATTCAAGATAATTATGATTATCAGAACAAATCTGTAGGCATATATGTCACCTGTAAAACAATTATTGTTGTTGTTTGAAATACTTGTCTTATTTTCCATCACATCATCTCGTTCAAAGATCTCAATGGAAGTGAATGATTACAAATGACATGAAGTTTCTTTAAAAGTGTGTTAAAATACAGTAAGACCCCACTTAACGCGGGGGATATGTTCCATCAAAGTAGAGCGTAATGCGAAACAGCGCTAAACGAGGCTATCTTTACATGTAAATATTGGTTTAGGGGAAGATGGCTAGTAAATTGGTTAGGTATTAAATTTAAAAAGTATGTTTTTTTTAATAAAAATAAAACCAAACATTTATTTCTTAAAGTCCAAATTAATACCACATTATTATTTCTTGCAAAAATAAAAACAAAATATAAATAACAAAACGAATATTCTTAAAAAAAACAAAATAAAATTCTAAGTCAGTCATATTTAGTTAGCCTTCCGCGTTTTCAGTGTTCTGCCTTTTTGTGACAAAAGCATCTAATGTTGTTTGCCTTTTTCTTTTGCGTTGTTCTCTTAAAAGTTCTTCATAAACGGATAGAGCATCTCTAACACCACGCCTTACTTTTGAGCTCCTGTCAAAATTCGGATCATTTTCAATGAATTGATCCATTATTTCAGTTATGGTAGACAAACTCCTTTTTACAAACGCCATCGAAAGTTCTTTTTGCTCTTCTTCTGAATCACTGCTGTCAACACTTTTGTTTTCTTCTTGTTCAGTTAATTCCTTGAGCTCATCATTAGAAAGACTAGCCGCTGCTTCTTGAATTATTTCTTCGACATCTTCCACATTTACCCCTTCAAAATATGTCTGTACAATACCGCACCAAACAAGAAATACAAGTACACTCTTTCGGATATGTATTTGAAACCTATCACTGCATAATATTTCGGGGAATCCCCGTATGCTGCGAGCGATTTCGTGGAATCTCCGGGTTGAAATAAAAGAGCGCTAAACCGAAACAGCGCTAAACCGAAACAGCGCTAAACGAAACAGCGTTAAGCGGGCTCTTACTGTAAAGTTTTATTAAAAATATGTGAAGCTAATTTTGATTTCTTTAGAACATACCCTAAACTTCTGTAGATACCTGGGGGTCCATGTGAACCCAAGCTGGGAAATACTGACCTAATGAACAAGCAAACTCAACATGAATTATAGTTTATGTAGAATTAAGTGAAAAGAAGTGATTATGTGTAAAAATTGCTGTATTCCAATCAGTCTATACTTTCCTGAAGTCTTTCTGTAATTTTTTGACCAGTGTTTCTCAAAATGGGCATTAGGTAGCAAGGAACTGTAAGTTTTAAGGGGGTTGCAATACTGCTATTAATTTTAAAATAATAATACATCATATCTAGGTATAATTTATTTGAACAACTTCCATACATTGTAAATTGTTTAGTATCTCAGCTTGTGATGAAAGAATACAGTTTCTAAAATTTTTAATATAAAAATAATTTAATTCATCGATTTTCAGTGTCTTAATTTTTCCGAAACCGGTAATTAATTTAAATCTTGTGTCAGTTGTAGTTTATAATGTTGGTATATGGTGCACAGGTATAAATTGTCAAAAATGTAAAACTGCAGTTTGACATCAATAATGAATAGATATAATGCATATACAACTGCATCACCAGTAATGAGCAGATATAATCATGTCACATTAGCTACTAAATTTTTGTACTATATAATTAATACAAAATCCAGATTTTATGTCAGTTTTTTCTTGGTGTTCTGGTTAATATGCTGAATGAAAAAATAGCTAAGTTTAGATAAATTCTGTTATGAGCCCTAAATAGAGATTGAGCTTCAAATTGCTCTCAGAAGTGCCTAAAATCGGTCTTGAAGATAACATGATGTGATTAAATATTCTATTAAAATGTGAGGGGGAAAAATAATCAGAACACATATCCTTAAAAATGTGACTATTTTTGGAAACAGCGAGATTTTTTAATGTTAAAAAACACAGGCCAAGAAGTCGAGTTTGTCTTCATACAAACCTGACTGCGACAATTTACTTTTTTCGTCAGAAATTAACAAATGCTAAATGTGCAAGCTCATATAAAATCTGAGTGTAATAATTTTAAAAGTAAATGTTTAAAGATAGTGTCAAATTTCTAGTTAAGAATAGTTTTGATAGGTAAAGTAAATCAAAGGTAATGGTATTAGTATTTTCAGCTGTTTCATATAAATAAAAAAGCTGATGTGTACACCACGACTTTCTTGTACGGAATATTGAATTATACGCATTTTTTACTGTATTTCATTTAAACTTATTTCCTTGAATTTTATTAGATATATTTCTCATTCAATGAATTCAGTTTTCACTTTGCAGAGAGGTAAAAAAATATAAAACTCAAAATATTTTCATTAAAAATTGAAGGATATAGAAAAACATAAAATACTAAATAAAGTTAAAACAATTTTTACAATTAAAATTACAGTATATATGCAAAAACAAGCAATTCGGCCAGCAGGCAAGAAGGCAGATTTTTTGGTGCACAAAACAAAGTTTCCTTTTGGTCCCACTCGGCTAAAAGACACTGAAGGTGCAGAAAGAATCAATTCACTATTCTGCTAAGTTTCAAATGTAAATAAATATGACTGCTATGGTAAAAAAAATTAGGCTTAGTCACACTTAAACAACATTTATATTGTTTATAATTCTACAACTATTGCATGCAGATTAACTAAAGGCATAAGAACCTTAACTGGAAGATAAAAACAAAATAATTCAATCATTTTTAAAGCAAAATATGCACAATTTACCTGCATAAGAGTAAAAAAACTGAGCTCAGTGAGCCAAGTAACAGGGTGGCCATATACAGGGCAAATCAGCTCAGCGGTGACGAACTTTCAGGAGAGATAGAGTACACCTAGATGAATGGAAATCTTATAGCACTGCATGGCTGGAAATGCTTTCTTGGTGTGGTAGTGACAACACAAAACTCAAAAAAGGTAGGACACAAACAGTGAGACAAAACATGTTTTATTACGTTTAGTACAGCAGAAACCTACGAATAAGAACAAAAACAATCAATGATCGTCATTAAAGATGGTGTTTAAAATTACAATCCCGGACCGTGTTTCACTTCTCTGGTGCATGGAAAATCTACATCATGAATGGAAGATGCATAATGCACAGATCCTTGGTCTAATTCCTAGGTCCTTTCGAATTCCCTTATCCTAGGTCCGGGTCATAATTTCAAACATCTTCTTTGATGATGCTGTTTAGGTTGTTTTTTCTTTGTTTTTGTTATACTCCGAATAATAAACATATTTTCCCAACCCGTTTCTGTCCTTTCTTTCTTGACATTTTTATCATTACTACTGCGCAGGAAAGCGTTTTCGACCATGCATTCCAATGTGACTTTCCATTGTTGTCTAGGTGTACTCTATCTCTCCTGAAAGTATGTCACTGCTGTACAGATACACCCTGTGTATATACAGTGGTGGCCAAAATTATAGACACTTTTTGAAATTTTTATGTTTTTCAACTTTGTATGCTTATAGAAAATGTTACGTTTCGCAAAATGCCAACTTGTATATATCATTTTAAAGAGAATTTATTACTGAATTCAATACAAAACACAAAATTCAATTATTTGCAATACAAAAAAGTTATATGTACTTTAATATAAATGAAAAACACAGTTATGAAGTGGTTTATAATATCTAGCTTTCCTGGCCAATCACTGTTCTTGTTCTGAGAACCAATCAAATGTTAGTAACTGCCAGTAGAAGCTGACATCATGTTTACACTTGAAACAATTCATTATTTTGCGTTCTGTAGAAGGAGGACCTGTTTCTTATACACTGCAATTACAAGTAGGAATTTTTGTAAAAATTTTTAATATTTAGTCAAGAAGCAATGACATCAAATAAAAGAGTAGATTGGACACCTAGAAAGAGGTGTAATATTATTGTGTTATGAGAAAGTGGTCTTTCCTATGCTGAAATTGCAAGACAGGTGGGTGGTTCAGTGACTACATCTGGAGTCCAAAAGTTTTGTTTACGATATCAGGAGACAAATTCAATAAAAAACAAAGAAGGAAAAGGCCGAAAAAGGTGCACCACATCTATTGATGACAGAAGAATAAAAAGACTATGTCTCCAAGATAGAAAAATGTCATCAGCGGCCATCAGAAGTGATCTGAATGATGCTGGTGTTTCTGTCAGTTCAAGAACAATCAGGAGAAGATTAACAGATGTTGGACTGAGAGGTAGAATTTCACGAAAAAAGCCTTATCTTAATTTTCAGCAACGGAAAAAAAAAAAAAAAAAAAAAAAAAGACTACAATGGGCAAAGGGACACATTAATTGGACGGATGATCAGTGGCCACAAGTTATATGGAGTGATGAAGCTAAGATATCGTTATTCGGTAGTGATGGGTGAAAATATGTAAGACGTAGAATAGGAGAAGAGCTACATTCTGACTGCATTCAAGCAACTGGGAAGAACCCAGTTAGTGTTATGATTTGGTCATGCATGTCAGCAGGTGGTATTGATATATATATATATATATATATATATATATACATATATATACGAGGCGTGACACAAAAAAATGAGACTTAGTGTGTAGCTTGAAAACAGATGGGAGTTAGTATCAACTCTTTTGGTGATGTCATGCCACACACCTCTTCTATCGTTTCACTTAACCAACCGTGCCAGTGGGGAGTACTGTGTTGTTGAGTGAACACATGTGAATGCATTCTGCTAGAAAAATGTCTAATGTAAAAACCAAACAGCGAATCAACATTAAGTTTCATGTGAAGTTTTAAAAATCAGCTGCAGAGGAAACATTTCAAATGTTAACCTAGGCTTATGGAGATAAAACTTTTAGATACACTTGTGTTTGAATGGCATAAGTGGTTTTTAGGGGTAAAGGACAGTGTAGAAAATGATGAGCAGGCTGCCTAGAATGTTCATCATGATTGAATATGTTCCTAGTGGTGAGACTGTTAATCAATACTACTACATTGATGTACTAAAAAGACTTTTTGAAAAAATTAGTAGAAAAAAGGCGACAGTTGTGGAGGGGTGGATGGCTTTGCACCAGGACAATGCACCCGCTCACACGGCCTTATCTGTCAAGTAGTTTCTGACCAGCAAAAACATTACTGTGATGGGGCATCCTCCTTATTCACTTGATTTGGCTCCATGACCCTTTTCTTATTTCCTAAAGTTAAATCTTACTTAAAGGGAATCCATTTTACCTCAGCTGAGGAGGTTAAGGCAAAAACAGAGAATCTCCTGAAAGGCCTTCCAAAAACCTCATTCCAGATCTGTTAGCAGCAATGGTGAAGTAAGCACCAAAGTAGAAGTGTGTGAATGCTAAAGAGAACTACTATGAAGGTGCTAATGTTACGGAGAACTGATTCTGTAAGTACAATGATTTATTGGACCGTTTTTTTTTTTTTTTTTTTTTTTTTGGTGTGTCACATCTTGTATAATATACTTTTGGTATATGGCTGATTGTAACAAAAAAGGGAGGTGCACACTGGACCAGATTTAGATTTGACAAGATCTTAAGCTATTTGAGATATGGGGCACTTTATGAGGTATATGAGTAAATCTTTTTAATATGAGATATGCTACAATTTTTCGGGGGGGGGGGGCTAAGTTATAGCTTGTTCAGCTTATATGTAAATCTGGCACTGGATGCACAACTACATGCTATAGCAGTCCCATGCACAAAATTTCAGCATTCTGAGCCTACTTGCTTTTGAGTTACACAAGATATATATGTACGTACATACGGTCGCCACGAAAAAAATCTCTTCTGAATCCATTTGAAATCAGTTTTATAATTCGTTTGGGGAAAAAGAGTTTATTCTGTCCATACATACATATGTCATTCAAAAACATTGTTAAATTGCATTCAATAGCGGACTAAATGGATATTTTTGTTGAAATATGGTACCTGGAATTTTTTATGATAACAATACTTCCTTTACTTCATAGAAGGAAGTAAAAAAGGTGCCTTTATTTAGTTTATCATCTTTTCAAATCTGTGTTTCTTTTTCTTTCTTTCTCCCCTCTTTTTTGTGCTTTGTTTTAAAACTTTTTTGTGTAGCATTAAGCATTTGACATACATTATTATACCTTCATATTTACTGAATTTTTTATACAAAACTTCATTTTATCAATAAAATATGCTTTAATGGAAGGAAAATATAAATGTTTTGGAGAAAATGTAATTATGTTTGTGAAAGCAATCATTTATTTCATGTAATAGTAAGTCTTGTAAAAACTAGAAGTTGTAGTGTAAAGTTCCCATTTTTTTTTTTTTTTTTTTTTTCCTCAGATCAGTTAAAAAAAGTCTAATCATACTTAAACCCATTTCTTAACTTAATGCTTGTTTTTGTGAGGCATTATTGATGGAGGACAATTTTAGTACATTTGGTGATTGTTGCAAACTTAACCAACCGTGTCAGTGGAGTTTTTAATAATTAAAATTATTAAATATTTTGTGAATAAAATTTATTTATTATTATAAAGTATTCCTTAATGATGCACTTTTTGAAATGAAAGTAAGTTCTTTAATATAAATCTAAGGGTTGAAGCTCATAATCAGGCACTAAATATCTTTGAATACACAACTTCTCCTTGCTGCTGTATTGTTGGGCTCAAATACTGAAGAAGGCATTTATATTTGTAAACATATAATGCCTGCACAGTGTGGTGACAATAAAAATGCACACTGAGCCGAAAGTTCTCTTGTGTGGTTTGGTGGAAGAGGAAGGATAAAGTAAAGAGAAGAGATTTGGAAGACCTCTGGACCATTTCCATGAGGTGTTCTCCATCAAAATTGTGGCACAAACGGGCAAAATAGTACTGTCACCTATATGATGCTCGAGACCCATGTCAATGACAGGTGTAGTCTTGAGCTTCATGCCATCCGAAATTTTGTGGACTTTATATTCTGATTAGGTCAGACAAGTGAGATAAGCCACAACAACAGTATGTTACAACACTTGAAAATAAGAAATTGTTAGGTATATGCCTTAATCATTATTAATTTAGCACTTTTTTTTTTTTACATTCTCATTCATAAAAATCAAAGTACGTTTTCATCTACATTTTAAGATACATGATGTATGTTTTAATGGCTGACAACATCAGTAGCAATTGAAACTGATATAAAATAATCAAAATAGTTTGTAATATTTAATGTCTAATGAAAGATTAGTAGAAATTTGTCCGCTTATAGAGTTTCAATCAGAAAGCATTTAATCTTTGGACTTTGGAGAGGCTACAATCTCTTAACTTACTGGTGAATTTTTCATTTGCACCCTATAAATGTCTCAGCTGGTGAACTTAAACTCATATTTGAACTAGATTGCAACTACAGTGTGTTTATCTGTAATTTGTGGAATACAAATTAAGTAGAAATTTTAAGTTGGATTGATAAGCTAAAAATATTTGCTGAAAATGTACCTAACTTTTGAATTTCTAACATGAAAACAGCCAAATACTTGTCTCTATATTTCTCATTGACTAAAAGTAGATTTTTTTTCACTCGTAAATTAGCAGTTTGAAGTACACTTCAGTCACCTTTTCCTTTGCTTACTAGCAATAATGTTAAAAGAGATTTGCCATCAATCTCCATTTTTATAACTGATAAATTTCTATTAATTTTTCCATCTTTTACTTTATGTTTGTATTATTTGTATAATGTAAGTAATTTATGTAAGTACTTTCATATTTGCATCTTTTTTTTTTTTTTTTTTTTTTAATGGAACAAGAGAAATGCATAATAAAACTTAAATAAAATTGGGATTCGTTAAATTAAAATTATATACATATACTGAGTTTTAAATTCTTTTTGCTTTAAAACTAGAAAAAAGGAGAGTCATTTTCATGTTAAAGAACTGTATTTGAAAAATTTATTAATTTTAGGCATATCATTTTTAAATATGTAAAACTGTATAAAATGATATAAATAACTTACCTTAATTATTATTTCAGTCATTCAAACGGAGGTTTGTAAGTTTACGTCAAGAAATTGATGGAACTCACATACTAGAATTTCATAAAGATGAACGTAAAACAGATTCTAAAGGTGCATTATGTATGGACTTTTGTAATAAGGTTACAAGGGTGAGTAAATTCCTATAAGATTCTGACATAATACAAGATTACAATTTTCTTTTATGTTATCATGGAAGTGGGGGACTTTTCTAAATAAATTTTATAAAACTTCTGTAAAATTCTACATGGAATGATGGCATTTTAAACAAAATATCCAGTAAAATAATTTATTGCTTATTCTATCTTTTCATCTACTGTGTGCAGTTTGTGCATTGTAAATAATATTCCTATCATTTAATGAAATAATCATGATTTAATTAATAATCCAAATGTTCTGAATGAATAAAATATTTTAAACTCGATGTAGGACTTCTGTGGTTTATAGTCGAAAAATTTGGCCAAGTGATTTTCAGCGGCGCTTCGGTTGGCCAATTTTTTACATCAAGAGAATTTTGCAGAGACTGAAACAGACCAGATATTCAGATGGTGCAGAGTCCTGGCTGTATGGTGAATGCATCAAAACTTCCCAACTAAGTTCCGTCAATTTGTTCCGAGTCATCAAAAATGTGTGTAGCCGCGCATTGTCATGATGGAACACAACTCCCTTTCTGTTGGTTAGCAATTCTAACTGATTGGTGGTTGCCCTTACTGGACTGCTTCGTTCAAACGGTCGACTTGTGTACAGTACAGGGAGCAGGAGCCCTCTGGTTCATAAAATACAGAGAATTCTCCTTAATATCCCTATACCTTTTCGTCCTGTACTCTGTTGGGTGCCAGTGCACGTAGGAATATTAGGAAATGAAAGTATAGATATAATGTCTAAAGAAGTTGCCAATAGTGCATTCCTACTTGAGTGTCCAACAACACTTTCAATCTCGCTTCTAAAGCATTCCACATGCAAACTTATCATAAGACAGTGGAAAACCCGCTGGAATGATGCTACAATGAGTCTATGCACACATGCAATGCTCCCAAGTGTAAGCATGGATCTGCAGAGCAAAACTGGCAGTATGTCGCATTTCCTAGCAGGACGTGGACTGTACAAAGCCTACTGCATAGGTTTGGTCTTTTCAGCACAGACATCTGCGACTGTGGGGAAAGTGGGCAGCCCAGACCACTATTACTGTGAATGCTGCTTGACAGCGAAGTTCCACCTAAAAAAACCAGCACCCATGTTTTGCACAGCGTGGTGGAATAATATTCGAAATAACAATGTTGCTCTATCGAAACTGCATGCTATCTCTACATACTGTGCTGCAAAAACACAGTAATCTGGAACAGCTTTCATCACAATCATTCCCCAAGTAGCTAAATTACAATTTCAGCTCCTATAAGATAAATATTTAATTTTTTAAATATTATACATATATATACAGTAAGACCCTGCTTAACGCGGGGGATACGTTCCATCAAAGTAGAGCGTAATGCGAAACAGCGCTAAACGAGGCTATCTTTACATGTAAATATTGGTTTAGGGGAAGATGGCTAGGAAATTGGTTAGGTATTAAATTTAAAAAGTATGTTTTTTTTTAATAAAAATAAAACCAAACATTTATTTCTTAAAGTCCAAATTAATACCACATTATTATTTCTTGCAAAAATAAAAACAAAATATAAATAACAAAACGAATATTCTTAAAAAAAACAAATAAAATTCTAAGTCAGTCATATTTAGTTAGCCTTCCGCGTTTTCAGTGTTCTGCCTTTTTGTGACAAAAGCATCTAATGTTGTTTGCCTTTTTCTTTTGCGTTGTTCTCTTAAAAGTTCTTCATAAACGGATAGAGCATCTCTAACACCACGCCTTACTTTTGAGCTCCTGTCAAAATTCGGATCATTTTCAATGAATTGATCCATTATTTCAGTTATGGTAGACAAACTCCTTTTTACAAACGCCATCGAAAGTTCTTTTTGCTCTTCTTCTGAATCACTGCTGTCAACACTTTTGTTTTCTTCTTGTTCAGTTAATTCCTTGAGCTCATCATTAGAAAGACTAGCCGCTGCTTCTTGAATTATTTCTTCGACATCTTCCACATTTACCCCTTCAAAATATGTCTGTACAATACCGCACCAAACAAGAAATACAAGTACACTCTTTCGGATATGTATTTGAAACCTATCGCTGCATAATATTTCGGGGAATCTCCGTATGCTGCGAGCGATTTCGTGGAATCCCCGGGTTGAAATAAAAGAGCACTAAACCGAAACAGCGCTAAACGAAACAGCGTTAAGCGGGGTCTTACTGTATATATATTTAACACTTTTGCATACTTGCCAACCTATGACACTCAAAAATCAGGAGATTTTTTTAAGAAATCAGGAGTTTTTTTAAGAAATCAGGAGATTTTTCACAATGTTAAAAAGACTTTTTAAATGATAAAAATATAGTTTTTAATAATGAATTAACTTTAAGTAGTAACTAATTCTTAAATGCAAGCAACACAAAAATACCTTACACATAAAAAAATTTTTATTACACGCATCGTTTAAAAAAAAAAAAAAAAAAAAAAAAAAAAGACTCTTTAATCAGTTTTTGTACAAATGTTATAAACAGTGGCAGATTTTGCTTTCTTTAAGAAAGAAACTTCATCATTGTGTTCACAGCAATTGCCACGTAGGCCTGCTTTCGCTAATAAAAGTTTTTCTAATGTGCCATCTCTAATATTAGATCTAAATTTAGTCCTCGTTTTCGCAACAACACTGAGGATCCCCTCACACTCTGCATTACTATAGGGAACTGTCAAGATGGCCAACACAATTTTAGACAGTTCACTATATTTTAAAATTCCATCAGCACCTTTCAGTTTTGCAATTAAACTCCACTGGGTGTCAATCGTAGCTGATTTTATAACTTCATCCAAGTTTTCTAATTGTAAACTGCTGTTATGCAGCTGTTGGAACTGTTTCAATTTTTCCTTCCTTTTAGAACTCCTTTCAAGATAATAATAAATATCACAATGTGTTCATCCACATTTATTGGTAAAGAAGTGTCCCCTTTTTCAGCTGCTAAATTTAAGAGGTGATAGGTGCACCTCATAATCTGAATTTTCCTTTCTTAAGATGCCTGCAACACCAGCCTTCCAAGCCTACCAATACTGGTGCATTATAGGCACCAAGTGCTAAGCAATTATCCAGAGTGCCTGCAGTTTTATTTTAAAGTTTTAATAATTAGCTGTGCTATATTAAAGCCTGTCAAATGTCCTTCTAAAGTGGAAACATAAAGTAAACTGCACTCAATTTCTGAAGACTCTGGATCAAAAAAAGAAACAACAATTGGATACAGTTTTGAATCGGTATTATTGCTTCCATCAGTAGAGAGGCAGACCGGAGCTGTTTTAATGCAATCAATAACTGAAGATTTATTTTTCAAACCCATTTCTTTAACAATTGCACCTGTTTTGATTCTTGCACCTTGAGTATTTCTTAGCGATTTCACTATCGGGAAACATTTTTCTAAATAAAGCTGCAGCGTGATCCGATGCATTCAGTGGCAGGTTGTGCTCCAGTAAAAAGGCAGAGAACAGACATTCTGCATTAATAACTTTTTGGTCCTTTGTTTCCGAAGAAAAATTTAATTTTTCGTTTTTTTCAAAACAACTCATGTTATCCTTGTGTTTTTGTGTACGCACATGTTTGAGAACATCCGCCCTTCCAACATACGAAATTGAAAAATCGCAACGACAGGCGGTACCACATCGCAAATTTATTACATTTCCTTGAAGGAAATAATGGAAGGAAAGTCAACTGTGTACGATTTTTTGAAACGTACACGAGTATTTCACCTTTTCTCGCAGACGTAACAAAAGATGATAATTTCTAAAACTATTTCCCTAAGGCACGTGTACTCACACAAACTCAGGACAAAATGAACGAAATAACTAAAAAGAACGTCCAAATAACAACTTGCTTTGTCCTCATTGGCTAATATATGCCAGCTGACACGCAGTGGAGCTCGAAGACCCATTGGAGAACTGGAAGAATGAACGTTTCTGGATACGTATAATGCTCTTCACTCACAAAGCAGAAGAAGCTTATCTGATTCGCAAGGTTTTGTTTTTTGTTTTAGATATAATGTAGAGAAAATTCAATTGCTTTTCAGACGTCCAAAAGCACTTTTTTTTATTCATATAACAGTATGAACAGTATGAAAGTATGAAGCCAAGTTGCATAAAAATCGTGAGAAATTTTAAGAATAAGAAAAAGTCGGGAGAAATATATTGTAAATCGGGTTGGCGGGAGAGCGGTCGAAAATCGGGAGTCTCCCGCCTAAATCGGGAGAGTTGGCAACTCTGCTTTTGTTATAAAAATCTTTGTTCCATTGCATCAACTTCTTGACATATACAAATATTTGTAAATATTTTTCATACATTGTTACATACAGTTATCTAACTTTCGTAATATGAATATTCATTCTAATATAGTAAATATGCCAATTTAACACAAGAAATACCAATAACAGTGTTTCATAATGTCATTTATATATATCCTGTAGTGTAAATTTCTTTATTCCACATTGATTGTCATCACTTAAATGTAGCACATTTGACTTATTTATACACCAAATGTAGTGCCCATTTAATGCACTGCCATATGCATTTAATAAATGCAATATAATTTCCCTTATATATAATATTCAATTATGTAATATGAATGTTCATGTGCAATACTGTGCTATTCAAAATATCTTTTAACAAAAGAAAAAAAAAATGTACTGAACAACAGGCCTTGTATGCCAATGTAACTGATTTCCACAGAAATGACTTTCAGTTCTGTAAGATACGAACTAGGACGGATGTCATCTTCACGGTGCATACAGGGCCGAATTGATGGTTTCATCAGGTTGCAGCAACTCATAATGGACAATTCCCTTCCAATCTCAACATCGAAATTTCAGGAATAGAATCAAACAAACCACTGCTGGGTCCTTCGTTTACTCAAAGCCATTCTCACCGTATACTTGACAAATTTTTCTGCATGTTTTTGAATCATTTTTACCTTTTCTATAGTAAAAAAAGCATCATATACCGTATTTCTTCCCATATTTCACTCATTTTCAAATCAATATAACTTT